TCATGAAAAAATTCAGAATTGGTGTTTTGGGGGCTGCAAAACTTTCCCTGGGATCATCTTTCTTTGGTTACCTTTTGCTCCTGTCATTATTTGCCATGGGCTGTGAGAACTCGGATGTGGCTGGACTGACCGTGTCATACCATGGGTATGGTGAGAAGGCCAAGCTTCAGCATAAAGTGCTATTGCAAATCAAACTCCTTCCTCATTTTATTCCACGAAGTATATATTGTTGTAAAGAGAATGACTGACCTAAATATGCTTCCCAGAAATCTGATTCAAAGCTGCGGAAGCTGCTCCATCTATTCCAGCAGGCATTGTGTCAGAACCCTTTTGTGATTGTGGCAGGGACCAGAGGGGTTTATGCCACAAGTGCAGATTATTTCTCTGATTACTTTTTTAATTATTATTGCCATGGGACCCATCCTTTCAGCCTAGTGATTTCTGGAAATATGAGGAGCTCAGTAGGGGGGCGAGATTCAATTAATTGTTCCTTGCCACTGTGTGCTGCTGAACAACGAATGGCATTTAATAGCCTCTGAACTCAAAACTTAAGGATTCATGGATTAGCCATGGATAAACCTTTGGGTCACTTTTGCCCATGCTATTACGCTGCAAATCTCACTTCTGGAGAGGAGTTTCCATCACTGACTCTACAGCAGCCCCAGGAGCTGCTCCACTGGTGTCTTCAGCAGCACGTGGCTGAAGTTGGCAGGTAGCTGATGTATAAGGTATTGGTCCCTCAGTCTGGATGAATCCCATTCTGATAAATTCATCACTAGCTTCTACAGAGGCCATTTCCCACAAGTAACTCACTCCCCTCTTTGCCACTTGTCCAGTTTTGTTAAAATTGCATCAAGCCTCAGATAACTAAAACCTCAGGAAACCTGATAAAATGCATGTGCAGAAATTGTTAGGTGTTTCCCTTGATAAAGTAGCTATTATCTCACAGTAGGTGGTGTGCTATTGTTAAAACATTTTGATAACAGAGAAATAATAATTTACACTGCTGTGTGGATGCAAAGAGACAACTTTAATGGGCTACAGAGAAGATCTGACCAGGTGAGCCTGGCAGAGAGCATCACCCATGATTTGATAATCGTTACCTCCATATCTGCTGGAAAACATCTTTGCAATTTCTTTTTTTTCCCCCCAGAACTAAACAGATGACTGATTATGAGCAAGACTTGTTTTCAGAGTGCAACTCAGGCTGCTCATGTTCCAGGAACGACTGGGACCCCATCTGTGGGGAAAATGGAATTACCTACGTTTCTGCCTGTCTCGCTGGCTGCCAGGCATCCAACGGCAGTGGGAAAAACACTGTAAGGCAATCTGTCATTTCCATGTGTGATGGGATATTTTTCCTAATGTCAGGTCTGTCAGAGTAAGCGGATTAAAACTGAGTAAGGCATGTCCTCTTCAGCCCTAAATGCCTCAGGTTTTTTAGCAATCTGCCACCCACATTTAAAACTTTCTCAATTGCTGTTTCCAGCAGAAATCACAAGTAAAGAGTGTTTGGGTTTTTTTTCAGCTGTTGGCTACAAAGACTGTTGGAAAAAAACTAATAAAAACATTCATCAACATTAGATGCTTTATATTTTTCTTCTGTTCCTTTTAAAAAGCATTTCCCACTTTGGATTTAAACTTTCAGCTACCCAGAAAAGCTTCATGTGCAATTGAATTCTCCACTCTTTATATTATAATACATTTTTAATACGTATTTTCCTACTTTCTTCCAGGTATTTTTTAACTGCAGCTGCGTGGGAAGCTTTGAATCTTCACAAAGCTCCTCAGCTGTGGTGGGACCATGTCAGAAAGGAAATGAGTGTCCAAAAATGTTTCTGTATTTTCTAGTAATATCAGTTATCACTTCATACACTTTGTCAGTAGGTGGCACACCTGGATACATCCTCCTTCTAAGGTAAGAAATTGTTTCTGCTAACGTTGCCAAATGTTTTAAAGGTGTTTTGACATATGCAACTGGGTCTCCCTCCCCTCCTAGTATTCCTAATATTGTGCAATGTTTTAAGCTGTGCAAGGTGGTTTTTAAAATATTAATTTATTTTTTTTTACTATTGAAAGGTATCCTCATAATCTGACAAGGAGTTTTTTACCATCAATGCAACAATCTATTTAGGATGATCTTTACCAGCAATATCTCTCTGGTTTTAGCATGATATTAGAGGCCTAGTTGTAGTTTATTCCAAAATTCACTTCCCTTAATGCCTCTTACATGGCCAGGATGGTGTCATATGTCCTCCCTGCAAATGGAAATCAGCTCTGCATGTGCCAATGTGTGCACATATATGCATTAGGCAGCCAGTTTTCCTCACTTGCTATGGATACTGATACACATCTACATGGTGATCTAACCCAAACCTTCTATATACACACAATTCTTCTCCTTTAGCCCATTTTATTATTCCATATAATTGTTCTGCCCAGATTTTTCCCTTCAAAACAAAGATTGATTTAGTATGATTTTTAATTTTTTTTTTTGGTGGTGATAAGTGTTAAATACTCCTCCCAAGGAATTTTTCCAATATATATTTGTCTGCTGGATCTATTTGTCCATCACTGAGTGTAAGCCTTGAAACTAATTTTAGAAAGTGCAAAAGTCATGTAATACTACTGGTGCTTAATCTGGATTTTTGTCAACTTCTTGCAATTTTTGGATTCCAAGTGCTGCTCTGCTCTGTTTTGGAAAGATATCTTTCTCAGTTCCTTTTTCCAAATGATTTCCTGACGGGCACATTCTACTTCTCAAACAAAACAGCAGTAAATCCAGTTTAACTAATTTTTAATATTATAGTTGTGTTTTCTTACCCCAAAATTCTCTTTGTTTTTGAATGAAACTTTGTGGAACAGGCCCTGTCTCATTGCTGGTGCCTTTATATCACAAGGAGAAAGGCAGTGCTAGAACTCACTGAGTATAGGCTATATGGAAAAACCTAAAGAAAGAAATGTGACTTCAGTTATGTTTCCATCACAAACCTTGAACCAGAATCAATATTCACAGAGAGACTTTCAGAAATGGTTGAGGTGAGGATCCTTCTCCACTGCCCTCCACAAACTCTGCCAGTGAGGTATATGCCTTAAACCATCTAAGCTGCACAGCTTAGCTCACACACCTTGCAGGGTTACCACAGAGTACTGCAAAACCACACAGCATATCTCTCTCTCTCCCTCAAGGGGTCACTCCAAGAATGAACATATTATAATCCATTTTAGACAATTTTTACTGGAGTTTATGCAGCACTGAGTTGTGCCAAGATGAGGATGATTCATGAGTCGAGAGCTTGCAGCAAAATCTTCAGGATTTATGCCAGATTGCTCTCTCTGGTTGCTTCTGACACAGGATAATTTTTTGTTGGATAAATATGGGCATAGGGCCATGCAGGGATGGTTTTCTTTCCCTTTGCCTCTACATGATGTCACCTTTCTATCCATAAGACTCATAGCAGAAAATGCACAGATCTGCTACCACACAAGGCTTCGAAACCATCATTGCCAAGCTCAACTTCCTGCTATCCAGTTCTCTCCACTGCAGGAGTGCTTGGGAGGAGATGTTAATAGTTGAACACCTACAACCTTAAATCACACAGAGTTGCCTGCACTTCTCAGCCCTAAGAACTTGTTCCTGGAGGACTTAATGCTTAAAGGATGTATTTAGAAAAGATTTGTGAGGTTTTCAATTACAATACTAAAACATTTTGTTATATGAAATCAGCAAAACAACTTCATTGGTTCTGCTGCAGAGCTTTTATTGCTGCTGTTGCAAATCATTTTACTTTGAGAGACATTTAAGTGTAACTGAGAAGTTACGTGTTTCCTGCTGGATAGAAGGCTGCACATCCACGTCTGATGTGCAGCTAAATAAAACATGTTTCAATAAGTTCAATCCTTTTTATTTTTTTTCCCCACTACAAACGTCCTGTGGGCACAATTCCACTTTAAGCTCATGCTTACTTTTTTTCTGAAATCCATCACTGACTGACATTGCCTGAAAAACTGGTTGAGTTGAAAGTGTGTTTCTGTTCCCAGAAGGAAAATAATTTTTCTTTGAATATAGTCTCAAGGTCAAGTTGTAGACTTCATTAATACTTTTTCATATTATCTGTTTTAAAGATTGTTCAGTATTCAGTCAGCTTTGCTAAGAATCCATCACTTAAGCAGCTGATGTTTTCAGATGAGGAGATATTGTTGCACCTGCCATGGAGTACAAATACAGCTAAATCCCTAAAAACCTGTAAGACTTAGTGACATTTACTTCAAGGCTTTACACCAGTGAAGTAATTGAAATATATTTATGGCTAGTGGCTGAGTCTTTTACTGAAATGTCTTTTTAGTGGTATCAGAGTAATTGCAATTGTCAAGGAACTTGGGAAAGCCCTAAAGATTTGGAGAAAAAAACCCTGCAGTTCAGATAGCTGTTTCTCAAGCACCAGCTATTAATAGCAGGTGATTAGGCAGTGAAAAGGAAGTCTCAGATCTCTTTGAGAGGTCTGGCTATCACTCAGGATCACAAAGAACTCCTGTTTCCGTGGAAGGACAATACAAATGCTCAAACAATATTTTTTTCTTCTGAAAGAGAAGATTTTTTTTTTTGCAGGATAAAAATCCTATGGGGCACTTAATAAATATCCAGTTATTGGCTTTATTTTCCTTTTTTTTTTTCTTTCTATGCCCTCAGATTTTTTAGAAGGACTCTAGAAGGACTCATGCTGCACTTACTTGTGCAGCATGAGAGGAGGGCAAGTCACTGTTTCTCCAGCTTAAAATCATATTACAGTCATGCCTAGATGGCAGTGCTTGTATACGTCACAATGCAACAGACTGCAATAGTTCTGCAATGACTTTGTTATTTCCACAAATTTATTCCCAATTACATGAATTTCTGCAGAAACTGAGCCCATCCTGGCTCAGAGCACAAAGACTGGACCTCCAGAATGTGCTCATCTGTAGTGACAACTGAATTTCAGCCCATTTTTTTTTCCTATTTTATATTGAATAGGACGACTGTGACAACTGTGAGTTTTGTCAATTGCCATAATGACACACATATGTTACCCCAAATGCCAAACATGTCCCTGTTTAATCATGTGACTGGGACTATCACTTGCTAAAAGTCAAGCACATAGTCAGATTCTTGCTGGACTAGGTATTGTAATAGTCAGTCTGGGACATGCTGGGGAGGACAGCACACTCTGCCTTCCCCAGTGAGCAAGGATGACAGTCTAAGGCTGGAGCAAGGCTGATCTGGAGCCAGAACTGATGTGTGTGCTGGTCTTCCCCTACAATCTCAGATAAGTCCAACTGCAAATGGTCTGCTCTGTCAGAGAATGGTTTGGAGGATTTACCTTCACAGAAAGTGTGATCCTGATCCTATATACAGTGAAAAGTGAGTGCCTAAATTCCCTGTACTAGCCTGGGTCCACAATTTCAGAGTATTTAACTGGATAAGACTATCCCACAGATGTATGATTTCACAATCAATTTTCTTGTCCTGCGTTAGTAGCATCTGAAAATTCACAACCATCTTAAAATGTAATATTGAATATAGATGTTCAAAATTCCTATATTCTGTTCTGATTTTATCATATTTTTACATATTTCTGTAATTTGGTTAAAGTCAGTGTCATTAAGGAGAAAAAGACACATTTCTTTCCTTCCTTTTGCTTTCTATTTGTGCTCAAATTATGCAAAGTCAAGTCTTTATTTCTATTTAACACCTCTTTTTTTATTGTTGTTTTTAGATGCATTAAACCCCATTTGAAATCTTTTGCACTTGGTATCTATACCCTGGCAATAAGAGTACTTGGTAAGTCCATTTGTACTCTTGGGTCTGTTTTGATACACACCTCACTAATTGCTTATCCTACATTTAAGCTTTTATTGTTGGAATGGATGATGTCTAACTGACAAGTCAACATCAAATTATTTTAAAAAGTAAAATATGAAAAGGTTTGGAAAAAGGAAATAGTTTTGGACTTTGTAAATCATATAACTGTCTTGGGTGTAATTAAAATACGCATGGGCAGCACCCATACAGATGAGAAGTGATCCTTCAGACTAAGAAGTTAACATCAAAATTATATCTTGTCTCTCCTTAGTCTGCAACAAGAATAATAGGACAGCTATATCTCAGAATTCATGATTGTTTTTCAGGCACATATTCATTAGTTTCTGAGAGAATCAGAGTACAGATTCTGTCTGTTCACTGCAGTCTGTTAGTAGAGCCACCTATAAGTTTTCTCTAAAATCAAGGGTACAGTGAGCTGTCAGTGAACTGGAAACTCAAAAAATCCTCTAGGTCTTCATAGAAAAGATATTAATTAGCAAGAAAAAAGTCACCTCTTTAAGTAAAGCAGATTTAGGTGAGCTGACTGAAATGAAATCAGAACGAGCTATTGGCTGCTTTCTCACACCTTTGCAGACCAAGATTTTCCCTCCAGGCTTACTTTCTTTTTCAGCAGCCATGGGTGGCTCCCCTGGTGGCACAAAGTCCACGATGTCCCCATTAGCACCTGAAGAAAGGCTTTCCCTTTCCATTACCCACAAGAACTGCAGTAGGTTTGCCCCCACCACAGTAGGACCTGAGGACTAGCCCCACTGCAGACTCCCAGCCCTGATGTCTCATCCCTTCCAGTTCCCTCCAATCAACACACAGGACACTCCCTACACCCAAGCTGAACAGCTTCTATTGCTTTCAAGAAAGGAGAAGTATCTCCTTTTTTTCCCCTCCAGAGGTGTCCCACAGCGTGAGGAAGCCAAGCCATGGCCAGCACTCCTTCCGCTGACTTCCACAGGCTTTTTGATGTCCAGTCATGTTTCCCAGACTTCCCACAGGGAGGAAAGGGTGGTGTGTGCCTGGGCAGCACAAGGCACGTCTTCTCAGCCCAGCAAACAGTGTGGAAGTGTCACTGCTGTTCAAATGGACTATTTAATGTTCTACCCGAACATGTCTCTAGATCAGAACTGAGCACCCTGGAAAGTAACCTTCTTGCCTCTATTTATTTGTTCAATACGCCCAGCGGGAATTCCAGCCCCAGTGTATTTTGGAGTGGCCATAGATACCACTTGCCTGAAATGGGGAAGCAAAAGATGTGGGGGAAGAGGAGCATGCAGACTCTATGACTCCAGTGCACTCAGGTAACAGCTCTTCTCCATTTGCTCTTTAACTTGTGTTCTTTAAGTACATCTATGCCTGGCACTGGTAGAAGAATTTCTGGCTGAAAATTTGAGTGAGAGATTTGAAGCAGAATGAAAGACTCTGACTAACATTATTAACAATAATGCTCAGGTTTCAGCATTCTCTCTTAAATTTTTTGGTGTGGGGGGTTCATCTTGTTTCAGTATCAGCAG